CTTTCGTGCCGACGATGCACTCTGGCACCAGCGTCTCGGACATCCTTCTCGCGCGACGCTGAAAAACTGCATCGACGCAGGCGTCTTCGCTCCTGGAGCGCTCCTGCGCCCAGATGGTACCGAAGTGAGAGGCGCGACACATCCGCGCAACTGCACCGACTGCCCCGAAGCCGCGCTAAGCCACCAGCCGTTCCCGCTGCTCGAGCCAGGGACGAACCGCTACCCCAAGTTGCACAAGGTGTACAGCGACTTCTTGAACGTGGGGCACTACGGAGTTGACGACGAAATGTACACGCTTACCTTCATCGACGCTGGAACGCGCCACGTGTGGGTCGCAAACGTGGAGTCTCGCGATAGAGCCTACGAGGTATTCCGCCTCTGGCTAGCGCACGCGCAGCGGCAGTCCGGGGAGAAGCTGAAGATCTGGCAATCTGACGACGCTGTAGAATTCAGGAGCAAGCAGATGCAAGATTACCTGGCACAAAAGGGGATTGAGCACCACATCTCTCTCCCCTGCGCACAACAGTAGCAGGGCGTAGCCGAGCGGACGAACCGCACGCTCATGACGAAGGTGCGGGCGCTGATGAAGCAGTCGAAGCTGCCACCGACCTACTGGACCTACGCGATGCACCACGCCGTGCGGGTGCACAACCTGCTGTCAACCACCGCCATCACCGGCAACTTGTCCCCGCACGTGAAATGGACCGAGACTAAGGGGGACACGTCCATGCTCCGCGTATGGGGTTGTATGGTGCAATACCGCCCGCCGACGTCAACCATCGGCAAGTTCGCCAGCCGCGCGCGATGGGGGGTTCACCTAGGCATCAGTCACGAGTACAAGGCGTGGATCGTGCTGGCCCTACTCAGTCAAAAGACTGCCCACGCTCGCGACGTAATTTTCTACGAACGCCTCTTCCTCGAGCAGTTCCGCCACGACGAGCAGACGAATGCGAACCGCGTTTACGCAAACAATGGGCACAGCTACGCAACGCCCGAGGACAAAGCCGCTGCAGCAATCCTGGAGCAGGACACCAGGGGCGAGTTCATATGGGGAGATCGCCACAGCGACGACAGCGACAACGATTCCTCTGGAGGAGGAATGGGCGGAACAGGCGGAAGCGGCCGAGGCGCAGCACCACCAGCGCCACCTGAACCATAAAGCGATGACGACGACGTGCAAGAAGTCGTCCCGCAACGTCGCCACGACAGCACTGTCTCAGGACTACAGCTGCTCTGGCTTCACACTGCAACCTCGAAGGCGCCACGTGTCGTCGAGCCACGAAACCCGCGCCAAGCTCTCACTGGACCACACAGCAAGGAGTGGCGCGAGGCGATGGACGCGGAGATCAAGGCACCTGGGTGTTAGTCAACCGCGCAGCAATCAAGGGTGCAAGAGTTCTCTTAGGGAAGTGGGTCTTCCGCGTGAAGACCGCAGCGGTCGGAACGATCGAGCGCTTTAAGGCGCGCTGGGTGGTGCGTGGCTATGACCAAAGGCATGGAATTGACTTCGACCAGACGTTTGCTCTGGTCAGTCGCCACACCTCCGTCCGAATCCTGCTCGCCATCGCAGCCGCAAGACACCTGCCTCTCCGCCAGATCGACGTCAAGAACGCGTTCCTGTACGCGTTAGTAGACGCCGTAATCTACGTGGAGCAGCCGCATACATACGGCGAAAGGGACTCGCGCGTATGTCAACTGCGCGAGTCCCTTTACGGGATCAAGCAGGCACCGAGGCTGTGGCAGCAGTATCTGCACAGCATTCTGCTTGAAATCGGGTTCAAGCAGATGCCGCACAATCCAGGGATGTACCGCCGTGATTTCCGCGGCGAATACATTCTCCTCACGGTCTACGTCGACGACCTGCTCTACACGAGATCAAGCAACGAGTTACTCGAGCAGTTCGAGAAAAGCCTGGCGGGGCGCGTCGACATCACGTGCAACTACGAGGTGAAGCAGTTCTTAGGCCTCAACATCTCCTACGCGCTTGAGGCCATTCACCTCTCAGCGGCTAAGTACGCAGCGGAGTTAGGAAAGCGATTCAACATCTCACCTGCACCGCTCTCCACTCCCTACCGAACTACAGGACTGAACCACAAACTTGACAACAAAGCCCTATCCCCTGCTGGAGTTCAAACTTACCAACAGCAGCTGGGATGCCTGCTCTTTGCCTCTCTCACATGCAGGCCTAGCCTCTCCTACATCGCAAGTCAGCTGGCCCAGTACTCACGCAAACCAACGGCTGAGAATCTTCTGGACCTGCAGCGCGCTCTACAGTTCTTCGTCTCAACGCCCAAGATTGGGCTGTGCTACTCAACTGCACCAACCCCATCATTCAACTTCATCGGCTACGTGGACGCCGATCACGCAGCAGATCTCGACAATCGACGGTCCAGGACTGGCTTCCTGTTCCGACTCGAACCAACGGGAACAATCTCCTGGAACTCGTAGAAGCAGGAGTTGGTTGCCCTGTCGTCAGCCGAAGCGGAATTCATCGCAGCAACCGCAGCAGTTCGCGAAGGCCTCTACTTGCAGGAACTTCTGCAGGAGGCGAAAATTCCAACTTTGCCCACCTTTCGTCTTCACTGCAACAACCAGAGCGCGTTTCGCATCGTGAACAAACCTGGTTTCGTCAACCGCACCAAGCACATTGCGCTGCGGTATTTCTTCGTGAAGGACGAAGTGGACAAGGGCAAGGTTGACTTGACCTACTGCACGACTGGTGACATGGCAGCAGACTTTCTCACGAAGCGACTGCCACGCCAGTAGTATCAACACTGCTCCGAACTCAGCGGAGTGGTCAAGCAGGTCAAGTCGAGCTGCGGCCAGGAGTGAAGGGGGGTGTTACGAATAGTAATGCTTGAACATCACAAGTGCACTCCTCACCGCAGCTAAGGAAACACGCAGTAACGAGAACGAATGCGAGGAGTCAGAATTGACTCGAAGCGCCAGACGGTTAGGGTGGATCTGGACCGTCGGAGCAGACGGGATCAGGCAGCTGCAGTCAGGAGGAATTGGGCGAGAACAGTTTCGTAACTGTACGCGCCGCACGGTTGGGAATGAATTTGAATAAGGGAATGTACCCCTTAGAGTACATGGCTAGCTAGGTCGATTCATATTCCCCTGTACTCTTATTTATATCGCTGTATTTGCATGTTTTAAATCATCTCAAGAATTTTACATTCACTCTGCTATTGAGGTCAAGGGCCCACTTAGTCTATCTATCTGCTTGCGAACCTTCCCGAGGAGATCCTGGCAGCGTTCATCTTTTGATCGCAGCAGGAATGATGGGATTATGAATGTGGGTGATATAAATAGCACCTCACTAAGGAGCACCTCATTACAACCTATTGCAAATAACAACAATTGACACTTTAAAGCTTCATCGAATTCGCAGATTATTATGGTCACATCGTTCTGTGTTATACATCGATCGCTAGCCCACTCTCTCGCCTACTTTTTGAGGGCATATAATTCTATTGGGGTCCAGTACAGTGTTCTATACGATGAAGTCGGGTGCTACGGAAGGGAATACATAAAATTCCTTGTAAGACTATTGGTGCGAAGTAACGGAATTCAGATTCTGTACATCTACTAGGTTTACAACTCGTTATGTGCTCCCTCAACAATTACGAAACTTGACTTTCCAACCTGCCTGATTCTATTTCCGTAATTCATGCTTCTCAATATACAACCCCCCACAAGAGGACAACGGAATGCCTGAACTTGAGTTTGGCGGGAAAACTGCCGCGAACCGTTCCCACCAAACCTACCTGCAACGGTAATTCGGAGCAACAGGTGGACACCACCCCTGAATGGCGCGGGCTTTTGAACCACCACTCCGTTCGGATCTCCTTGCCAAGAAGCTCAGGGCCACCCGAAGCACCTAAACGAAGCCAGAAACCAAACCGAACCTCTCGCTGCTTCACCTGTGTGGTTGGTTGCTGCATCCGTGTCGCTTTGTTCTGGGCTTGGCAGGCCAAGCCGCCTGCCCCTTCCCTGACAAGGACATATGGGAGCCCTCCAAGGGCTGGCGGGTGTTTCTCACACCAAGCAGCAAATCTGCAAGGCGCGGGCAGGCAGTGCCTGTTGCTTATTGCATACGGACGTTCCTACGGGCTGGCCACCTGCAAAACTAGCTTCATTTCTGCCCGAGTTTAGCTTGTGTTCAGAGTAGGCTTTGGTCATCGTCTTGGCAAGCCAGCACCTTGGGCTTCCCTCGCAGTTGCCAGGTGCTGCTGCTGCTGCTGGTGGTGCTGGCTTGTTTGGGGGTGACGGACCCGCTCTCTTGGAAGTCCCTGACATGGACTTAGCTACAGTGTCTTACCTTAGCTTATTTTGCAGGACTTGACGGCTTATGTTTCCTGTCAGACGCGTGACTTCCACCAAGCAGCCATAAGAAGAGCGATGCAAGACTGACTGCTGAGCATTACACTGCTCGCCAAATCGAATTAATTCTGCCTGTTCTTGGCTGTTACTTAGTCGCGACGTTTGTCCAGCTGACGGAATACCTGGCTGCATTTGTATACTAACCTCACCAGTAAAAACTAACCTAGCTCCACGAATAAGACATCAGTAGGCTTTCCAGGGGAAAAATAGTTCCTGAGTGCTAGCGAGATAGATACGATTCTTATTAGCAAGTAGTTAATATTATTTTATACCCGACCAAGACATGCGATAATGGCGGATAACCGTCCGTACATGCCTAGCGTGGCAGGAGCGTCAGGAGATCACGAAACGCTGACCAGTTATCCCGAGCCTCATGGCAGCGGAGCTCCGCAGAGCAGCGGGGGGTACGAGATAGGCCATTCCAGCGGCATTCCGCGCGACAAGGAAGACGTGCTTAGGACGCTGCCTCCCGTGACTGGGTGAGTGCGGCTTCACATTAGTGCGAGCCCTGACTAGGGTACCGAAGCCAGAGTACAGCTGGTTGCTTTTCGCACGACCGCTACGTGACAGCTCAGTCCTAGTCGTCGCGGCAAGGCCAATCCGTCGTGAAGAAGATGCGTGATGCTGGCTTTCGGAAGCACGTCCGTTCACGCTCCCGCCGCTGCTCATTCCTCTGTTCTTCCGTGCTCCCCTCTGCCTCTCCTGCAGCCCTACGGGCGGACCCACCCGCCGGTCGTCGAGAGGTGGTTGGACCGCCGAGGAGGTATGCACCCTCGCAGCCGTACCCTCCACCTCGCACCCTACCCTCGCATCCATACCACTTCGATTTCACTAAGCAGTTGGCGTAGGCAGCCTGTACGCTTCGGCCGGGGAAGGCCAGAAAGTATTCCGAACGCCATCGAGTCTGCTTCTTCGGCGGTTTCCTTTGTTTCTTACAGCTCATGTTTTTAAGAAAAAAATGCTTCTGAGTCCCTTGACTGTTTCGTGTGCGGGCAAAGTCATGTCATGGCTGGATAAGACTGACGCTCGCCTCTTCCCCTTCTCCCTTTCCTCCCGTCTTTCTTCGCGTCAGGACGAAATCCTACGGCGAGCAGTGCAATGCTATAAGGGCAAGAACTGGCGTAAAATAGGTGAGCCTTTTTTACGTTTTGTGATGCTAGCGAAAAGTGTGCCGCAAAGGTGATAGCGTCGGATGTGTGTAACATCGTGTTAACGGCTTGCTGTTGCTTTCGCCTGCGATCCGATCTCCCCTCCCCACCCGGTTCGCTACCAGCGGAGTTCTTCCCCGACCGCACGGACGTGCAGTGCCTGCACCGATGGCAGAAGGTGCTCAACCCCGACCTCGTGAAGGGTCCCTGGACCAAAGAGGTACGCTCTTGGATCAAGCGGGTGGAGGGCCGGACCAAGCATGTCGGCACGTTGGATCGAGCAGTCAAGGGAAGAGGCAGTTTGTCAAGCTGGGTGGAGCTGAGAGAGCCGTCTCTCAGCGCGCCGACGTTTCTCACTTGCGTCGCTCTCGTTCTTCGGTTGGCCGATGCTGCCGATCAAGCCTAAACTCAGATTCGGAAAGACGTTCTACGCAGCAATGTTAGCAACGGCCTGGTACCGAGCAGGTCGTCGAACCTCCTCCAATACTCCTGACTGCTCATGTCGTGTCTGCCTCGTTTTCCTCTCTTCCAGCCTTGCCCTCGGCGCGGCACTGTGCCACCATTATGACGCTCATCGCGCATCGCTCATCGCTGATCGCGCATCGCTCATCGCTCATCGCGCATCGCGCATCGCTCATCGCTCATCGGCCATCGCTCATCGTTCGTCGCTCATCGCACCGCACCTCATCGCGCGCATGACTCGTGTGTCCGCCGCCGTTTCCGCCCTTTCCCCGCGCGCTGGCAGGAGGACGAGCGCATAACGGAGCTGGTGGCGCAGTACGGCGCAAAGAAGTGGTCGCTCATCGCGCAGCACCTGCCGGGGCGCATCGGCAAGCAGTGTCGCGAGCGGTGGCACAACCACCTGAACCCGGGCATCAAGAAGGAGGCGTGGGGCGAGCACGAGGACGTGCAGCTCATCAAGGCGCACAAGCTCTTCGGCAACAAGTGGGCCGAAATCGCCAAGTTCCTGCCCGGCAGGTGCGTGCGGGGTGTGGGAGTGCCTGCGTTTTCTGGATGCGTTTGCAGTTGGTCGGGAGGGGTATCCGCATCTCGTCGCGCGCGTGGTAGGCTGGTTGCCTGTCGTGCCTGTGTTTTCCTGCAGGCTCGTCCCGCGGTATTGGTTGAAAGCGCGCTCAACCAGCGCGCGCATCCAGTCAGCGCGCGCCTGCGCACCCGTCTGTGCATCCACTCGCCTTGCCGCCTCCGTGCATCCGCGCGTGCTTCCGTTACTCATCTTGTTTGTCCTGCTCCTATCCCCGCTTCGTTCCCCGCGGACCCTTCCCCCTTCCCCCTCGGCCCGGCAGGACGGACAACTCCATCAAGAACCACTGGAACAGCTGCATGAAGAAGCGCGCCGAGCTCTGCACTCTCGCGGACCTCCTCGCGCTTCCGCCGTCACCCGGGCTCCCCGAAATCCCCATCTCCGCGGAAGTGCTGCAGGCCGCGCGCGAGGGGAAGCCGCTTCCGCCCATCGGCGGAGACGGCGTCTGCGGGAGCGGGAGCGGGGGAGAGGAGGAGGAGAATGGAGGGGAGGAGGTTGATGACGATGCGGAAGCGGAGGAGGGGGCGAGAGGGGCCGAGGTTAAAGGGAAGGGTAAGGGGAAGGAGCGGGTGGGGGAGAGGGAGAACGGAGGGTCGCAGCAGGGGGAGGAGCAGATGGAAGTGGCGGTGGGCATGCCTGCGCTGCCCCGAGGCCACTTTCAGGGGAACGTTCAGGTGCTTCCGCAGCAGGTGGTGGTGAAGCTAGAGATGATGGAAGAGCAACGTCGGCAGCAACAACGGGAGCAGGAGCAACAGCAACAGCAGCAACACGACCAGCAGCAGCAGCAGCAGCAGCAGCAGCAGCAGAGAGCTTATCCAACTGTGTCTGGCAGTCGTCCAGGCGTGTCGTTGTCCCGTCCCTCACCATCCGACGCCATCCCAAACCCCTCTTGCACGCCTCGCTCCGCCGCCGCCCCCAGTCCGGCTCAGCCTTCCGCCAGCGCGGGTGCCAGCCCCCCCGCGTCCCCGGAGAAACACTCCGCCCCCTCCGCGCGCCTGTCCCTTTCCGGACCTCCTGCTGCTCGCCCCGGCCAAGCGCCAGTGGCGAGCGGCCCCAATCCCATGTCCAGCGGCTCACAGAGAGTGAGCGGCGCCCCTCTGCGCGCATGCAGTGCGCCTCAGGCGCAGGCGCAGCCCCAGCCCCAGACGCAGGGGCCGGCGCAGACGCAGGCACAGGGGCAGGCGCAGGTCCAGCCAATGGCGCCGGGCGTACACCTGACGAGCGGCCGCTGTCGTGTGGGGCCCACCAGCCGCACCATCACGCTGCTAGGCGGCAGACTGCCGTCCGCCCTGGCGTGCTCTCCCGAAGAGAAAGGACCCCGCCCTGATGGGGATGAGGATGGCGATGGTGGCAGTGATGCTAGCGCTGACGTGGCACACGGTGGAGTGGCAATGCAGGGCGTGGGGCAGCAGGGTGCCGTGGTGCAACAGGGGGCCATGGTGCAGAGTCAGCAGCAAGCTCAGCCGAACGGTCACTACCAGCACCAGCCAGAGCAGCATCAATATCAGCATCAGCAACAACAGCAACCACAACTGCAGCAGCAGCAGCCGCAGCTGCAACAACAACAGTCGCAGCTCCAACAGCAGCAGCCGCCACATGAACCTCCGCCAGCCAGCAGCAATTCCTTTCCGCGCTGCCCGCCTCCCTACAGCGCCCCCGCGCCCCTCTCCATCAACGCGTGCGCGCCTCTCAACTCCGTCGCACCCCTCCGCATGCCCTCAGCGCAGCCCCCAGCCATCGCAAATGCCCCCCGCTGCGCCAGCATGCCCGCCAGCAGCGCCGCGCCCCCCCATCCCCCCACCAGTTCCGGCCCCCCGCTCGCACTGGGCTCCGCGCTTCTGTCTTCTGGTGCGCCCAACAGCAGCGCGCAGGGGGGAAGTGCGGAGCCGAGTCTGCTGCGCATAGCGTGCAGCAGGCCGCTGAATGCGCCTGGCGGGATGGGCATGACCCGCAGCAGCAGCAGCAGCCAGCCACAAGCCATGCAGCCGTGGCCGCAGCAGGCGCAGCAGCAGCATCAGAACCAGTCAGGGTTTGCGCCCCTAACGGATACCTCACGTTATGCTGCCCCCACATCTGCACCGATCCCTGCTCGCCCGGCGCTCACTCTACCTTCACCAGCCGTCCTCTCTTATGCCCCTCTTCCCGCTCCTGCTGCCGCCCCTGCTGGCGCTCCCCCCAGCGCTGCCCCTGCGTCCTCGTCCTTCCTGCACCTGCCCTCGCGCCCCGCTCTCACCCTCCCCCAAGCGCGGCCAGGCCCCAGCCAGCAGCAGGCGTACCTGCCTCAGCAGCAAGGGCCCATGCCGCACACAAGCTCCACGTGCGCACCTCAGCAGCAGCAGCAGCAGCAGCAGCAGCATCAGCAGCGCCAGCAACCGCCGTCACAGCCTATGTATTATCAAAGCCAAGGGCAGCAAGCATTTCAACCACGGCAGCAGCAACAACAGCAGCTACTGCAGCAGCAGCAGCAACAGCAGCCACCGCAGCAGCAGCAGCAGTATCAGAACGGGCCAATGCCACCATGGCAGCAGCGGGGCCTCCAGATGCCATCCTGCCCTCCCCCTCCTCCTCCTCCCCGCGCCCCTCCACCACACTCCATCATCGCCCCCTCTTCCTCCGCCTACGCGCCCACACCCGCCCGCTCACCACCACCACCGCCGCCACCAGCTTCGGCTGCCTTCACTGCCGGCCCCACGCAGCCCCAGTACGGCCAGCAGCCCCGCTGCCGCTGCCCCATGCCCCACCCTGCCTGCACTCCCTGCTGCCCTCCTCCTCCTGCTCCTGCCCCTGCTTCTGCTGCTCGCCCTGCTCTCTCCTTGCCATCGGCCTACTCCACAGGTCCACTGCACGTGCATCAGCAGCAACAGCAGCAACAGCAGCAACAGCAGCAACAGCAACAGCAGCAGCATCAACAGCAACAACAGCGACCTGTTCACATAGCACCTCAAACCGCACCGCCAGTCCCAGCACCAGCACCACCAGCAGCAGCTGCAGCAGCAGCAGCAGCCCCATCCCTGTTGTCCGTGCCTCTCATGCCCACTCAGGCACCAGCAGCAACACCGGTGGCACCAGCGTTATCCGCACCACCAGCACCAGCCTCAACAGCGGCAGCAGCAGCAGGACCACCTCGAGTTGCCCCTGCTGCTAACACTCCCTCTCCGCCCCCCGTTGCTATGCTAGCAGGCACCAAACCCCAAATCCTTCCAGGCAGCCGAAACTCTGTAACGGGTGGCAGCAACGCTGTTCCAGGCGGTACCACATTGGCAGGCGACGCTGCAGCACAAGGGCGTGCAGCAAGCCGTGCAGGCGGAGCCTGGGAGTCCAGGGCGGAAGTGAAGGCGGAGAGTGACGGCATGCGAGGGCGCGAGGGGGCGGAGGAGGAGGAGGCGGCAGCGGTGCAGCGGCTGCTGAGTCTGGACGGGGCGGCAGCAGAGCCGCTGTTCCAAGCAGCGGAGCAGGCAGTGCATGAGTACCATGCGACTCAGGGCTTCCAGGGCAGTCAGGGCGGCCTTGCATGCGAGGCTGGATCCGCGGTGACTGATGCAGGAGCGACTGGCTCCACCACCACCGCTGCCGCCGCTGCTGCTGCCGCTGCTGCGGATACTCCCACTCCTGCGTCTGCTGCGGCTGTTGCAGCAGCAGCAGCAGCAGCAGCAGCAGTGCCGGGGCTGGTGACGGTGGAGAGGGCGGTGGAAAGGGCGGTGGACGATTCGCTCTTCTACGTGCCGCCGCAGCTGGACCACCTCGATGCTGCGCCCTCCACTGCTGTCTCCTCCGCGCCCCCTCCCCTCGTGCCGCTGCCCCCCCTCTTCGACTCGTTCCTCCTCAGCCCCACCACCGGCCCCGCCCTGCCTGCCTCACCGCAAATCACCGCTCTCAACCTCCCCTCCTCCTCTGCGCAGCCCTTCTCCTCGCCTCTCGGCCTGCGCCAGATGCTACCTCCTCTGCCGTCCACCGGCTGCCAGACCCCCAGGCAGATGCAGCCTGCCGCGCCCTCAGCGGGCTGTCAGACGCCAGTGAACGCCATCTTCTCAGGCCTCTCGCCCTTCCTCTCGGGCCGCAGCCCCCCCTCGTGTGCTGCCTCGCTGTCCATGTCGTGCCTGCTGCTCAGTGCTGGCCGCTCCCTGGACGGCCCTCCTTCCATCTTCCGCAAGCGCAGGAGGGTGGTTGAGGTCACTGCCAACGCTTCTGCTGCCACGCCTCCACCTGATTCTCGTGCTGCTGCTGCGGCTGATAGTGCTGCTGCTGCCGATGATGCTGACGGGGTTACTGTAGGTGCCGCAAAGGGCGGGGAGGAGCGGGGGGAGAAGGGAAAAGAGGGTGGAAGAGAGGCGGAGGGAGTGTTGGAATCGGGCAGGGTGCTGGCTCTGCTGAGGGAGCAGCCAGAAGGGCTGGGCAGTGCACATCGCAGAGCAGGGTCAACGGGTGCAGAGGAGGCCCCCACTGCAGGTGGGGCTGGAGAAGGCGGTGTCGCTAAGGGGAGTGATACATGCGATGTTGACAGTGACGGGCGTGATAAGGGCGGGCTGCTTCTGCGGATGGGCAATGGTGCTGATAGTAAGGATGGTGGCGGCGAGAATGAGAAGGGGAGTGAGAGTGGTGTTAAGGTCGGGAATGAGAAAGGGAGGGGCGGCGAGGGGCTGCGGCGTGAGAAATCGGGCGAATGGGGCCTGGATGGCGAGAGCAGCCCGCAGAGGAGTGTGAAGTGTGAACGCCCCGCGTGCAGGCGGGCAGCTGTGAAGGATGGCCGTGCAACCGACCTGGGGGACAAGGAGGAGCAGAAGGAGGAGGAGGAGGAAGTGGAAGTGAAGGAAAGGGAGGGAAAGCAGGAGGGACCGGGAAAGGAGCAGGAGGAGGAAGAGGAGGAAGCGCAGGAGGAGGAAGAGGAGGAAGAGGAGGATCCGGCTGATTTCGCTCTGCCTGCAGCTGCCATTGACGGTGAGGATGGAGAGGGGGGCGTTCACTGCGGGCCGGTGACGTGGACGCTGACACGTGGCAAGAGCGTGAGCCCCGAGGGCAAGAAGCGCGCGCGAGAGGGCGAGGAGGATGGGGTGCAGGCAGGGGCGAGGGGAGGAGGCGGCATGGGAGGAGCAAGGCCGGAAGGGAGAGTGTCTCCGAGGAAGCAGCTGAAGCTGGATGGGGAAGTTGCGACGGTGGCTGCTTCTGCTGGCGCTGCTGGCGCTTCTGGTGCTGGCAATGGGGCCCTGCCCCTGAGCCGTGTGCTGCACTTGGAGCTGGATGCGGCTGCTGACACCCACATGCATGACGCCATGCATGGCAACAAACCCAGTCATGAGCTCACCACGCCGCACTCAAAGAAGCACGAGCAGCAGGGTGCATCCTTGAGCAAGCCGCTCTCCTCGTCCTCCACCCTCCCATCCCCCCCGCTCTGTGTTTCTGCCTCGTCCACTCGAGACGCCTCGTCCCCATCATCCCGCGCGCCCGTGCCCTCCACAGACACCACCTCTACCGACTCTCCTGCTGCCACTGCGCCTGCGCATGCTGATGCTCCTCAGCCCACATCTGCACCTGCTGCCCCTGCTGCTGCTACAGCAGCACCACCACCATTACCAGCGTCACTAGCAGCTGGTGCCGGGACAACAGTGGGAGTGGTGGAGCGATCGCGTCTGGGTACAGTTCCTGTGGTGGCCTCCCCTAGAGTGGGTCCGCTGCGGTCAGGAGTGGTGGAGAATGGTGAGAAGGTGGGGGCAACGGAGGAGGGGAGTGCAGACGGGGAGAAGGAGCGGCAAGAGAGCAAGTGTGTGCAGGGCACTGGTGCCAGCGGTGCAGACAGCAAGCCGTGTGACTCTTCTGACACTGCTGTAGCTGCTGCAGTGAAGGTTGGGACCAAGGCAGGCAGCACCACAGCAGCAGGCTCACACAAGGGTCCCGCCCTGAAGGCACAGACGAGGAGGCTCATCCGCAAGGTGCTGCCTGGGGGAGGCGTTGACTGGCAGGTGGCGGCTGTGGGGCCTGGGCTCGCCAGCCTCAGGGGCATCCTGCAGGCTGCCTCCGGTGCACCACCGCCCCTCACAGGAGCCCTGCCCTCGCACATACGCACTGGCACTGCTGGGGGCACCGGGGCAGCAGCAGCAGGAACAGCAACAGCAGTGGCGGTCCCTGCAGGGCCTTTTGGATCCGGGCGCCTGCTGTCCTCTGCAGCAGCTGCAGCAGCAGCTGAGGCTCGGCCCGCACCAAGGGAGCTTTGCTCGCCGAAGCTGGCAGGTTCAGGTGCGAGCGTGAGCTACTCAGGGTGCTACAGCAGCTGCAGCGGCAGCCAGTCGTGCATGAGCGGGGCACTGTCCCCCTCAGTGACACCAGCGACCTCCCCTCCTGCGGCAGCACTGATGGCCGCCACGAGCACCATGGCCTCTGCCACTGTCACCTCTGCTGCTGCTGCTGCACCCCCTCCGCCCCTGCAGATGCCCTCACCTGCGCAGCCCCAGCTGCCCCTTGTTCATGGGAAGGGAAGCAGCAGGGCCGGTAGTGCGAGGGTGGCCCTGACTGCTGCTGGTAGCAGTGGCGGTGGCACTGCTGCTGGTTCTGCTGCCAGTGGTGCTGAGTGTGCGTCTGCAGAGGCTGGTGATGCGGCAGTAGCAGAGGTTGGTGAGACCATGGCTGAGGGGGGCTCACGTTCTGCCCATGGCCACACTGCTGCTTCTGCAGCACCTGATGCGACACCTGGTGCATGTGAGGTTGACCCGCTTGAGTGTGCTGAGGCAGTGAGTGACGTGGACGCAGCAGTGGCAGCAGAAGGCAAGCCATGCACGGCACTGCCATCACCACAAGCGCCACAGCACAAGGCACCAGCAACACACAACGCCTCCACGTCTCCTCCTCGCCCGCTGAAGCGCCCCTTCTCTGCTGCTGACAATGCCGACCCACCAGCTGATTCCAGTGCTGCTGCTTGTGGCTCTGCAGGCGCTGCTGCTGGTGCTGCTGAGGGTGGCGCCGGTGGTGGTGGAGCGAATGGCGGAGAGGCAGGCTCAACAGCGGGGGGAGGAGGAGAGGAGGGTTCAGAGAGGAAGGTGAGGCGGGTGCGACCGCCGCTGCACCGGTGCGTGGGCAAGCCACAGCAGCAGGCACAGGTGCAGGGGGAGGGAGAGGGCGAGGGTGGAGAGGCGGAGGGAGAGGCAGCAGGCGGTTGTGCTGGTGTGTTGTCCCCACCCCCTCTCAAGCGCGTGGCAGCAGTGCGAGCAGCAGCAGCAGGGGAGGGGCAGGGGAACAGCTTGGGCCGAGCAGAGGCAGGAGGGGGTAATGGAGGATCTACTTTGGTGGGAGGGGGTGAGGGGGCAGTAGGGTCGGAGGGGCAGTGGGTGTTGCAGGAGGTGGGAGTGGAGGGGTCGCTCTTCTCCCCAACGCCCTCACGTGCGGGTATGGCGGGCGTGGCGTCATCACTCGCCTCACCCATGTCGCCCTTCACCGCTCGCTGGCTCTCGGTACGTTGCTCCCCTGCTCAACCCCTCTGCTTCGCACTCATTTCCTCCCTTTCCCTGCCTCCCTTTACTCTCCTGCATCTACTATCCCTCCCATACTGCTACCACGCTGTCCTCCACTGCCCTTGCCTTGTGCCTGGCCCACCGCCCTTATCTCATCCATCTTGCCTGTCCCACTGCTCTCCCCGCCCCTGCCTTCTCCCCCGCTCCTTCCAGCCTGTGAGGCCGCAGGCACTGGCATCGCTTGACGTCTTCCGCTGCAGCACGCCCGCGTCGATGCGCAAGGCGGGCTTTGCTCGCTCCCATGCGCACTCTCACGCAAACACACACGCGCCCATGGTGGATGGTGACGCTGCTGACTGTGACCTGGCAGCGGGCACTGGGCTCAGCAAGACCACGTGGGGCGAGCCCATCAGCCCTGCCAGCTACCTGCTGCGCGAGTACCGATGACGCACGCTGCACTTGATACTACAGAATATTACATACCGGAGTATTATATGGGATGGTTATTAGATGTGGTTGAACTTAACCGCATTTAGCCTAATAGTATGACCGTACGTTAGACAGGAACGGAAAGGGACTCACTTTCTTGTTCCGCATACAGGTATGGATTGACAAGTATATCCCAGTAGTACAGTATGTAGTGTATACTTGTGTTACTCTAACATTTGAATTTGCTTTTTGAAGAGTAGTACTTCGCAACTGGTTACAAACAATGCGTACAACAATGTCCCTGGGCCTCGACCGTTGTTAGCCCGTCACCAGCCACCAGTGTTGCCGGGGCATTTTGTTTTTGGACAAATGTTCCACGCCCTTATTTTGCTTTTTTTGTACTCGGCCACCTCCTTTCCGCGTGCCAGACTATTCATTTAGGGAAAGAGCATAGAGATTGAGGAATGAGATTGACATCTGGTATCGTGTATTGTGTTTCGGGTTTATAATATCGCGTGCATTCCGATTACCGATCACCCGCCTGGTGTGTCCACCTTTCTTCTCCCGAAGGCAATAGTCAGCTGCAATGCTCACCCGCACGCTCCGCCTACCCATTCCGCGCGCGCCGCTACCACCGCCTCTCGGGGCTGACCGCTTTGCGCCTGCGCGAGTCGAGGCACGAAGCGCGGAGGGATCGGACGGTGGGAGAAAGAAAGGCGGCCGAGATGGTGGGAGTGGAGAAATTGCGGCGCCGTCTCTGTCCAATCAGCGGACAACACGTGCGAATGGGGGAGAGAACGGCGGAGGGCGGAAGAGCCGGAGTGGCAGAAGGGAGAGCGGAAAGTCGGCGGCGGAGGAAGCGGAGAGCGCTGCTGGCAGCAGCGGGGCCGTGACGGACTCAATGCGGCGCAACGCGCTGGCGACGGCGGACGCGCTGCGCAGCAAGAGCCGGCGCGCCAAGAGATGGCTCGGACAGGTGCGGCGGGGGGAGCAGGGGAGGCGTGGGGGGGAGCAGGCGAGGTGGGAAGCGGGGGAAAGGGCGTGAATGCCGGGAGAGGCAGTGCATGGCGGGAGAGGCAGTGCATGGCGGGAGAGGCAGTGCATGGCGGGAGAGGCAGTGCATGGCTGGTGAGGCAGTGCATGGCGGGAGAGGCAGTGCATGGCGGGTGAGGCAGTGCATGGCGGGTGAGGCAGTGCATGGCGGGAGAGGCAGTGCATGGCGGGTGAGGCAGTGCATGGCGGGTTACAAGCGGTGATGGCATGGCATGTGCGGGGAGAGTGTGAGCAGTGTGGTGGGGCCTGGCGGAGGCAGTGTGGTGGGGCCTGGCGGAGGCAGTGTGGTGGGGCCTGGCGGAGGCAGTGTGGTGGGGCCTGGCGGAGGCAGTGTGGTGGGGCCTGGCGGAGGCAGTGTGGTGGGGCCTGGCGGAGGCAGTGTGGTGGGGCCTGGCGGAGGCACGCTCGCCCTGTGTGGCACAGCGTGGTGTGGCGGGGCCTGACGTCATCCCCTTGCAGCTCCCTCACACCCCACTACTGCGCCCCGTGCACTGTGTCCCGTGCCCCGTGCCCCGTGCCCCGTGCCCCGTGCCCCACAATCCCTCTCTCCTCCTGTCACACCACCTCACTCACTCCCTGCCGCACCCCCTTGCGCACCCCCTTCCTCACCCCCTTCCTCATCCCCTTTCTCAACTCACTCCCTCCTCAACCCCTTCCTCAACCCCAGCCCCACCCGTCACCCCCCCACCCCCCCACCCCGCCCTTTCCCCCTCCCCCCTCCCCCCTCTCCCCCCTCCTCCCTCCCCCCTCCCCCCTCCGCCCTCCCCCCGGCAGAAATATCTGGTGCGGGGCAGCATCAGCACAGCCACGGTGGCGGCAGCAAGATGGATGTAGAGTCGACTGAAGCACCCTCTGCCAGCCCCATCCCCAACCCCCCCCACCTCCACAACCCCCTCCCCATCAATACCTATCCCCCCACCCTAACCCCTCACCCCCCACCCTAAACCCTCACCCCCCACCCTAACCCCTCACCCCCCACCCTAAACCCTCACCCCCCACCCTAACCCCTCACCCCCCACCCTAACCCCTCACCCCCCACCCTAACCCCTCACCCCCCACCCTAACCCCTCACCCCCCACCCTAACCCCTCACCCCCCACCCTAACCCCTCACCCCCCACCCTAACCCCCCCAGCACTATCTGCTGCGGGACGACATCAGCGCGGCCACGGTGGCGGCAGCGGGAGTGGTGGCGGGCGACGTGGTGGTGGAGGTGGGGCCGGGCACGGGCGCTCTCACCGCCGCACTCGTGGCTGCCGGGGCGCATGTGATTGCTGTGGAGAAGGTGCGAGGGGAGGAGAAGGTGCGAGGGGAGGAGAAGGGGAGTGAGAGGCGGGGAGGTGGGGAGAAGGTGAGAGGCGGGGAGAAGGGGGGTGAGAGGTAGGGAGAAAGTGGGAGACGGGGGGGAGAAGCGGATTGTAGGCGCAGTGGTGGCAGTGCCGAATGTTTGCTGCCTCTTGTGGGAAGATGCTAAGGGTGGTCATTCCACTCCTTCGTCTCTCTGCTGCTCGTCCCCACATCTCCCCCCACCGCCGATTCTCTCTCCCTCCTCAATTGCATGTGTTCTCCCTCCCATCGTTCATCTCCCTCCCATCGTTCATCTCCCTGCCATCGTTCATCTCCCTGCCATCGTTCATCTCCCTGCCATCGTTCATCTCCCTGCCATCGTTCATCTCCCTGCCATCGTTCATCTCCCTGCCATCGTTCATCTCCCTGCCATCGTTCATCTCCCTGCCATCGTTCATCTCCCTGCCATCGTTCATCTCCCTGCCATCGTTCATCTCCCTGCCATCGTTCATCTCCCTCCCATTGCTGCCATGTTTTCATTTGCCCTGTCAAGTCGCTTCGCTTACCCCATGTGTCTCTGACATTCCTCAAGCCCATCACATCCACCCACCGCACTGCACCGCTCAGGACCCTGACATGGTGCAGCTGGTGCGGGAGCGCTTCGCCCAGTGCCCACAAGTCGAGGTGCGCACGTCCCTCCCCTCCCCTAACGGTCCTTCTCATTGAATGTAACAAACGGTACAGCAAGTGTAAGACAAGCGCTATGAAGCATATTCACTGCTACGATATGCGCGGGCATGTAAGTGGTGATACACACGTGGTGGGCTACCCAAGCGACTCTAGAAGCCTACCATACAACCTGTGAGTGCCGATGGGTACTGGGTTCGTGTCCAGCGTGGGGTGGCTGGCGGTATTGTGTGCCGTGGGGTGACCGGGCCGTGTGATGCTGCTCTGCACCTTGCTACCCACCAATGGCTGGGCTGGTTGCTTGCCGGCCAGAGCTGGAGTGCATGTGTCACGAGGGGGGGAGCTGGGGAGGTGCACTCACCCACCCACCTCAGGCTCACGCCTCCTGACCGGCAGCAGGTGCCCGGCAGCTATGGGCCATGGGTCAGCCGCTGGTTGCAGCGATGGGCCCTGGGTCAGCCGCTGGTTGCAGCTATGGGCCATGGGTCAGCCGCTGGTTGCAAGTAACTCGCTTCTACCACCCGGTTGGCTAGGCTAAACCCTCCTCCCGTCCCTCCCACTACTGCTGCCGCTGGTAACGCTGGTTGGTTCCACTAGCATGTGTCTGCCTGCCAGCCTGTCTGCCTGCCAGCCTGTCTGCCTGCCCACGCCTGCCCACCCACCTGCCCGCGTGCCCTCCTGCCTGCGTGGCCATGTGGGTCAGATATCATGTGTTGTGGCCCATGTGGGTCAGATATCATGTGTTGTGTTGGGCTGTGTTGGCCTCGCATGTGTCGTGCCCAGCTGCTTTATGTGCCTCCCCTTGCCATCGCTCATCCCTTTGGCCTGCACTGCTTGCCCTGTGCTCGTCCCTCTCCTTGCCCACCCTCGTCCTCTCCTGTCGTCTGCATGCCCTGTGCCACGCCCACCACGGCAGGTGGTGCAGGCGGACATCCTCAAGTGGCCCGTGCACGCCCTCCTGCCGGCTCGCCTGCACCGCCTCACAGGCACGGCAGGGGGTGACGCACAGACGCTGGGAGGGGCGGAGGGAAGGGCAGCACAAGGCCAAGGGGCGTTGGCGAGTGGCGGGGCAGAAGCACGCACGAGTGGGATGGAGGGTGTGGTGGGCGAACCGCCGGTGCCTCTTGCTGCTGCACGCCCTGCTGCGGCTCCCACAGCTGACGCTGCGGCGAGCAGAGGCAGCGAGGGGAGTGGAGGCAGCGAGGGGAGTGGAGGCAGCAGTGCCGTGCGCGCCAAGGTGGGTAGCGTAGGCTCAAGGCTGAAGCCAAGGTGGGTAGCGTAGGCTCAAGGCTGAAGCCAAGGTGGGTAGCGTAGGCTCAAGGCTGAAGCCAAGGTGGGTAGCGTAGGCTCAAGGCTGAAGCCAAGGTGGGTAGCGTAGGCTCAAGGCTGAAGCCAAGGTGGGTAGCGTAGGCTCAAGGCTGAAGCCAAGGTGGGTAGCGTAGGCTCAAGGCTGAAGCCAAGGTGGGTAGTGTAGGCTCAAGGCTGAAGCCAAGGTGGGTAGCGTAGGCTCAAGGCTGAAGCCCATGCGGCGCACAGGCGTGCGCAAGTGCTTGCCTATTTAGGCCTCCGTGGTTGGAGGGCGGAGCTCATCCCACACTTGGCTGGCTGGATCGCCTCCTTCCTCCTTCAACGTCTGGACCACAAAGAAATGTTCACAGCGGGTGAGAAACCAATTTTTCACAAAAATGTATACATATATATATATATATATTGTTTTTTTATAGATGGGGGGTGCCTCTTGCTGATGTGACTAAAATGAAGGGTAGAATGGCCAAAAGGCTGGCCGGTCACGAACCTACAGAGGCTCGAGATGAAGCTCCATAAGCCGTTGCGAGGATGGACTGTGGGCTGTTTGAACAGGAAAGGCCTAACTCAGGCACCCTCAAACCCAGGCATGAGGTCAGACCCAGATTACACCTTCAACATCACCACTGCCTTCCCCTTTAATGCCCCGCCTTACGTGTCTCTCCCCCAGGTGGTGACGAACCTGCCCTTCAACATCACCACGGACTTCCTGCGCCTCTTCCTGCCCCTCGGCCACCTCGTCTCCACCGTCGTCTGCATGCTGCAGGTGAGGCATGCTGCAGGTGAGGTGAGGTGAGGTGAGGTGCGGTGCTGTGAGGTGACATGCTGCAGGTGAGGCATGCTGCAGGTGAGGTGAGGTGCTGCTAGGCCATGGTGTGATGGCATGGTGTGATGGCATGGTGTGATGGCGGGCTGCAGGTGACAGCTGGGAGGGCGTGGGGTGATGGCATGGTGTGTGGGTATGCTGTGATGCATGGCTGCAAGCATAATATCCACCTGTGTGAGAAATTCTCACATCCCCCCAAATCTCTCACCATCCCCCACCACTCCCCACCGGGCAGGATGACGCGGCACAGCGGCTGGTGGATGCCACACCGGCAGCGTCGCAGTACCGACCGATGAGCGTGTTCGTGCAGTACTATGCGGGTGAGCTCTCTGCTCTGCCTCTTCTATGAGTGTTGGTGCAGGTGAGCACTCGGCTCTGCCTCAGCAAGCAGCACCATGTCACTGCTTCCCCAATACACTGCAATCCCCTCATCTCTTACTCTGCAATCTCCTCATCTCTTACTCTGCACCCTTTATTCTCAATTCCCTCCTCATCCCGCACTCCCCTCTCCCTGTCTCTCACTCCCCTCTCCCCATCGCTCACTCCTCTCGCCCCATCGCTCACTCTCCCCCACCGGTGCATCACCGGGCGCCCATCAGATCCCACCTATCAGTTCTTCGTCAGCCGTCGCAGCTTCCTACCCCCACCCAATGTATGGCCCATGTCCCTTGCCCCGTGCCCTGTGCCCATGCCGCAAGCGCCATGCCGCATGCCGTAATCTGCATGCCCCATGCTCCACGCCCCATTCCCCCCATGCCCCATGCCCAATGCCCCGTGCCCCGTGCCCCATGCCCCATGCCCCATGCCCCATGCCCCGTGTTGCATGCCTCCAGTACCCAATGTCATGTGCACAATGGCACCCTGTGCATGTCATGTGCACAATGGCACCCTGTGCATGTCATGTGCACAATGGCACCCTGTGCATGTGACACCTTTCTTTTGTCCTCCGTTTCTGCTCCACGCAGTTGCATTAATCTCCTCAACTGGGCTCTCTTGATGACCATCTCATGTCTCGTCGTGTCTCCCATGGACCAGGTTGATGCAGCAGTCGTGTCATTCGCCCTCAAGCCACCAATGGAACGAGTCCACGTGGCATCGCCCACCCAGTTCTTCCACATGGTAACCACCCTAACGCTCCTCACAACACGGTGCCACCCATGCTCATTAGCCCACACGCGTTGCCACGGAGGTGTTGGATAGTGTGTGTTGACACACACTCTGTCACTCATTTATCGCTGCACCATCTGGTCTGTCGTCAGTCCTGCCCTGACACTCCTGCTGCCCCCCACACCCCACCGGCACGAGGGCAGGTGAACAGGGCGTTCCAGGCGAAGCGCAAGATGCTGCGGGCGTCGCTGCAGCCGTCCTACTCGTCACAGCAGGTGTCCGCTGCTCTGGAGGCGCTCTCGCTGCCCGCCACTGTGAGCCACGTGGTGCCGTTAGAGGGGCTCAGGGGGGAGGTGCAGTGCACATGGTGAGGTGCAGTGCACACGGTGAGGTGCAGTGCACACGGTGAGGTGCAGTGCACACGGTGAGGTGCAGTGCACACGGTGAGGTGCAGTGCACACGGTGAGGTGCAGTGCACACGGGGAGGTGCAGTGCACACGGTGAGGTGCAGTGCACACGGGGAGGTGCAGTGCACACGGTGAGGTGCAGTGCACACGGGGAGGTGCAGTGCACACGGTGAGGTGCAGTGCACACGGTGAGGTGCAGTGCACACGGGGAGGTGCAGTGCACACGGTGAGGTGCAGTGCACACGGGGAGGTGCAGTGCACACGGTGAGGTGCAGTGCACACGGTGAGGTGCAGTGCACACGGTGAGGTGCAGTGCACACGGTGAGGTGCAGTGCACACGGGGAGGTGCAGTGCACACGGTGAGCTGCAGTGCACACGGTGAGGTGCAGTGCACACGGTGAGGTGCAGTGCACACGGGGAGGTGCAGTGCACACGGTGAGGTGCAGTGCACACGGGGAGGTGCAGTGCACACGGGGAGGTGCAGTGCACACGGTGAGGTGCAGTGCACACGGTGAGGTGCAGTGCACACGGTGAGGTGCAGTGCACACGGGGAGGTGCAGTGGGTGGTGTGCTGACAGGGATGCAGCAGGTAAGCTTTGGTAGCTGAGTGTTCTCAATCGCTGTTGGCCCCTCTGAAGCGCACGCCACAGTGCCTCTCCTTCCAAGCCCCATGTTCCGTCCCTTGTTGCGCTGCCTGGCACAGCCCATTGCACTTTCGTTGCAAAGCAGTAATGCGTTTCACTACCTTCCACCCTAGTTGACACTCGATCCAATCAGCCCTGTTAGTCCCACGTTCCATACCATTACACATGCACACATAGCTTACTTGCACCCCTCTCACTGCCTGCACGCCGATCACTGCCTGTGCGCTGCTTGCAGGCGCGTCCTGAGGAGCTGTCATTCGAGCAGCTTGTTCTCCTCTTTAACCGCCTTCATGGCTTGTAGCACCGCGCTTGCATGCCGTGCACAGCTTAGTGGTGAACCACGTTATAGGTGCCATGGCCCATGATGTACGTGGCAGCAACTGCTGTTTAGGTGAAATAAGTTTTTGACTGCTTATAAAGCTTCAGGGGTTACAGAAAATGTCCAAGAAAACCAGCTTCGCTTACCACCAGTGTTTCCACCACTTCAACCGTTGCACTGTGCACACCTGCGTATGCCTACCTGCTTGTGCCCGACCCGAGTGTCACTAGCGAGCAAGGCTACGGTAGTACCGTAGTCTATGACCCGACTGTTGGAAACAAGTAATTTAATGCTCCTGTTGTGTCGAAACAATAGACTGCAAACGAGCGGAGCAACGGCGAGTCAACCGAGGAGGTTGACAGAAAGTACCGTATAGCCCCGGATATAAGCGCAGGGCTTTTAAAGGCGCATGCGCTTGTATCTGGAGCAATGCGCTTATGGCCGATCCTCAATTATAAGCGCACCCCTTGAGAAATCTGTACTTATTATAAGCGCACCCTTCATGTTAAAAAAAAAATATATATATTTCTATAACAACCTAACCTACATTGTCTAAACTTTCCATTAACTAAGACAATCACATACAATGGTGGTCTCTGCTTTTCTGCCCTACACAACTTTCAACCTGTCTAGTCTACCCTATGGCCTATTCCTCCTCCTCGTCCGACTCGGGCTCTGTGGAGTTGTTGCCCCAGAACCCATCGGCCTGGATGTCGTCGTCCACCTCCACCTCATGGGACAACTGGCCTCACCGGTGCGCCAACACCAGTTTGTCCTCGCTCCCGTCAAGGGCGTTGCTGATGCCGCACGTGAGGAAGGCTCTCTTGATCAGGTCGACGGGCACAGACTTCCACGCCCGTGAAATCCACCTGAGCACCACCCCCGGAGGTGGTTTCTTGATGTTCCCTGCATCACACAATTTGGGGAGGGGAAAACATGAGTGCATCAACAGGCATACAAGCACACGATTTGGAGACGGTAGGACATGTCGTCACTCACCTGCCGGGGTCAGGATGTTCATGCCGTCCTCCTCAAACCAATTCTGGTACTCCTGACGAACGCTTGCTTTGAAGCTCTTGTTGATCGACACATCGAGCGGCTGCAGGTCTGCCGTGCATCTCGCCGGGATGATCGCAGGCACGATGTTGAGCGCCGCGAATCTCGCCTTCACTTCGGGTGTCAGGTGACCGCGGTAGAAGTCAAGCACCAGCATGGCGCTACGACTCTGCAGGCCGAATTTCGGCTTCAGGAACGGCACCACGCCCGCATCGAGCCACTCGATGATGCCCGCGGCCTCCATCCACCCGTTCGCTTGGCAGCCGACCACAACATCTGCACGCAAGAGAACGACGGGTTAGAACGACTCTGGTTTAACCGTCAAAACACGCGCGGCAACATCTTACCGTTCGGGAAATCGCCCTTGGGGAGTGTCTTGCGCTTGAAAAACACCCACGGCTTTAACTTCTCGCCTGTCGCCGTGCATGCAAGCATCACGGTGACTCTCTCCTTCTAATACCCACCGATGCGGATGGGCACCGACCTCACGCCCGTCTGCTCCACGGTGGTCGTCGCCTGCATCTCCAACCACAGCGGTGTCTGGTCGGCGTTGATGATGTAACGGTTGTCAATGTCGTATTCGTTCCGGGCATCTTGTACGTACTGCCAGAAGTCTTTGCACTGCTCCGCCACGTCTGCGCACATGGAGGGAAGGACACATAGGGAGCCGGATTAGTATCGCGCACATGAGACAGGCAACAAAGAAAAAATCAATCTCGGGATTCATCGAAATCAACGGTAAAAAAAATCACTTACACTCCTGTGTTTTCTGCGCCGCCTTTGTTTTCATGCGCACGCTGAGGTTCCACCGCTTGCGGAAGCGCTCCGTCCACCGCTGACTGCCTTTTCACTTGACGTCAGGGAACAGCACCTTCATCATTTCTTTGGACCACTCTTGCTGCCGGCTGACCGAAACCGCAACTCCGCGGCGTCGCCAGTCGAGGAGTTGCGCGTACACCTTTAACTCCATAGGTCGGTACCAAGACGACCTCCCGCGCCCGTGAAGTCGCATCCGTGCGCCGTGTGCAGCCTTCAGCGCATCCGCTTGGGATTTCCACTCTATCAGGCATTTTCGGTGTATGCCGGACTCCCGCGCCACTTCGCTCACTGATGCCGCAAGCTCGAGCCGTACGAGCCACCTCAATTTCTCCTGGGCGGTGTAGGACTGCCGCTTATGTTGAGTCTGCTTGTGCCTGGGGGAGGGGGGGCGGGCATCTCGGTTCTCGGAAGACGGGTGGGGGCGTTTTTTGTTAATGGGCGGATACGTCGGTATCGGTATCTTCTCGCGTGGTGCGTCGCGCCACCAGGACTCCACACCGTCATCGTCCTCGGCAGTTGTGTCACGGTCTGGGAATACGTCTTCCTCGTCGCCCGCTGCACCGTCGCCTCCAGCTTCGCCGGCGCCGCTGTCATGTTTGTCGGCGGCCACATCATCGTCGGCGCCCAGAGCCGACTCATCCCACGCGCAGGCTTCTGGTTGTCCCCACCGTGGTGCAGGCACCGGAGCTTGGATGCGTGCATCGGGAGCCTTGGGTGTGTCCGCTTCAGCCAACCATTTGTCGAACGTGGCTGGTAAATACAGCTGGAGCACGGGCCGTTGGTGAGCACCTGCCGTTGCAGCAACAGGCGGATTCGGAGGAGCGGGAGGTGCGGGTGGAGCAGGAGGCGCAGGAGGAGCAGGGGGTGCAGGGGGATCCGGTGGCACTGGAGGCGCTGGTGGCTCACGGGTATACCACCCGTCCTCGGTAAGTCGCCATGTGCGGCGTGGTTTTTTCTTGAAGAGGATGTGAGTCCCACTAAATTCCGCCATGGCTTCGCCTGCCATGCGGTCTAGACTGGAAACAGAATGAAAAAATTGGAGACGAGGGTGAAGAAATGGGCAACGGCGGGGGCCCCTGCTGCGTGGCGGCTCGGGTTCCTCGTCGATGACAGGCAGGAAACCCCCGCCTACTCCCGTAGAGGCGCCTGCGTGGCAGCATCTATGCTGCGCTGGCAGGGAATCTTGCCGATCCTTCGAGATGGTTCTGCCCGAATGCACATGCCGCGCAGCGCATGCGGCTCTGATTGGGCCGCACGGCAACATCCTCGTCACGCTGTCAAATTCGATGGTTCCAGACAACAATGTGCGGTGGGAAACCGAACCGTAGCTGTTTCTGCCTGAAAACCATGCACGATCCCACTTGGTGCATGGTCGGTTGAGTTCGCCTTATTGAGAGCTTCACTTTGGTATGTTCAACAGTGAATTTCATTTTTTCCCTTATACAAGCGCATGCGCTTATAAATCTGACTCAATTATAAGCGCACCCCCCAAAAAACACTGTTTTATTATAAGCGCAGGTGCGCTTATATCCGGGATAATACGGTAACAGCTGGAGGTTACACGAAGGTCAAAGGTCAACGACCTTTGGCTCGACGAAATACAGCGCGACAGCAAGAACAAACAACTGACTCGGTATTGAGCAGTTGCCCGAGTCGTCACTATATCGAACCGCAACAGCAAAACAGTTAGCTGCACCTTTTCATATTCCTTGTAATCATATAAAAAACCTGTGTATTGCCTTGGTATAATCAATCTCTTGCTCTCACACACTAGTGCAAGTTGGTTCAACAAGTTCACTAAGAACGCTTCCGCAACTACAACATTCCTACTCAGGGTCTTAGCCCTGAAAAATTCTAAGGGTTTTCTCAGCCGAACATGGTATGAGAGCTCACAAGGCAAGATCCAACTCGATTAACACTCCTACAACAACCGAAGGCATGGCAACACAGAAGGAGAGAAGCTCTTCTAACGGCTCTCCCGGCACTACACCTACTCCACCTCCAGCCTCTGGCCTACAGACAGAGGGAGGTACAGCGACAAGACCAGCAGCTGAGATCGCCGTCCTGAGATGGGGCCTCATTCGGCCCCATCCGAAGTTCCCCCAGCAACGTGGCACGAAACACATGCCACTGGCATGGCAGTAAAGTGGGCGATGAATGTGGACGTCGCATGAGCAATCAGCTGAGGGTCGTGCAAAATTCCCTCACGTTGACTTTCCTTGCCGCCGAACGTCAGAACGACAGTCGCGCTTGACTGTCACGGAACCAAAAAATGAACATTTTCTGGCACGCATACTTACATCACAATGCAATTGGGCTGAAAACCCAAAACTTTTTATCGGATCCCTCCTATTGTGGGTTCGACCATCTTATGTAGGCGGGTGGCCATTGAAAACTGTCGCATGAACGTTCGATGCAAATGCATGTGAGTGGTTGCACCAAATCTTTTTTTGTTTTTCCGCTCTCATCGACTCCCGTCGCATGGCACGTGTGGTGGGTGTGATCCATATCAATTCTGCCATGCTGGACCAATGGTGTTGCACCCCCATTCGGCCCCATCTCAGGAAGGCGACCTGAGTATACTGAAACTCCCGCGAACCAGGCAACAGGCTTCGAACCAAGCATGATGGAGAAAATTTTCTCCTTGATGTCCTTTTACGAGCAGCACCAGCAAACAGCACATGCGCAATCACTCA